CTAGACTATAGACAAGACTATAGACTAGACTATTGACTAGACTATAGACTAGACTATAGACTGGATTATAGACTAGACTATAGACTAGACTATAGACTAGACTAAAGACTAGACTATAGACTAGACTATAGACTAGACTATAGACTAGATTATAGACTAGACTATAGACTAAACTATAGACTAGACTATTGACTAGACTATAGACTAGACTATAGACTAGGCTATAGACTAGGCTATAGACTAGATTATAGACTAGACTAGACTATAGACTAGACTATAGACTAGACTATAGACTAGACTATAGACTAGACTATAGACTAGACTATAGACTACACTATAGACTAGACTATAGACTAGACTATAGACTAGGCTATAGACTAGACTATAGACTAGACTATAGACTAGACTATAGGCTAGACTATAGACTAGACTATAGACTAGACTATAGACAAGACTATAGACTAGACTATTGACTAGACTATAGACTAGACTATAGACAAAACTATAGACTATACTATAGACTAGACTATAGACAAGACTATAGACTAGACTATTGACTAGACTATAGACTAGACTATAGACTAGATTATAGACTAGACTATAGACTAGACTATAGACTAGACTATAGACTAGACTATAGACTAGACTATAGACTAGACTATAGACTAGACTATAGACTAGACTATAGACTAGACTATAGACTAGACTATAGACTAGACTATAGACTAGACTATAGACTAGACTATAGACTAGACTATAGACTACTATAGACTAGACTATAGACTAGACTATAGACTAGACTATAGACTAGACTATAGACTAGACTATAGACTAGACTATAGACTAGACTATAGACTAGACTATAGACTAGACTATAGACTAGACTATAGACTAGACTATAGACTAGACTATAGACTAGATTATAGACTAGACTATAGACTAGATTATAGACTAGATTATAGACTAGACTATAGACTAGACTATTGACTAGACTATTGACTAGACTATAGACTAGACTATAGACTAGGCTATAGACTAGATTATAGACTAGACTATAGACTAAACTATAGACTAGACTATTGACTAGACTATAGACTAGGCTATAGACTAGACTATAGACTAGACTATAGACTAGACTATAGACTAGACTATAGACTAGACTATAGACTAGACTATAGACTAGACTATAGACTAGACTATAGACTAGACTATAGACTAGACTATAGACTAGACTATAGACTAGACTATAGACTAGACTATAGACTAGACTATAGACTAGACTATAGACTAGACTATAGACTAGACTATAGACTAGACTATAGACTAGACTATAGACTAGACTATAGACTAGACTATAGACTAGACTATAGACTAGACTATAGACTAGACTATAGACAAGACTATAGACTACACTATTGACTAGACTATAGACTAGACTATAGACTAGATTATAGACTAGACTATAGACTAGACTATAGACTAGACTAGACTATAGACTAGACTATAGACTAGACTATAGACTAGACTATAGACTAGACTATAGACTAGACTATAGACTAGACTATAGACTAGACTATAGACTAGACTATAGACTAGACTATAGACTAGACTATAGACTAGACTATAGACTAGACTATAGACTAGACTATAGACTAGACTATAGACTAGACTATAGACTAGACTATAGACTAGACTATAGACTAGACTATAGACTAGACTATAGACTAGACTATAGACTAGACTATAGACTAGACTATAGACTAGACTATAGACTAGACTATAGACTAGACTATAGACTAGACTATAGACTAGACTATAGACTAGACTATAGAAAATTGTACAATTGTAGCATTTCTTTAAAGTCTACTTGAATCTAAAAATCTGAAGGCTATCAATTAGATTTCTATTTTTTTTAAATATAATGTTTTGTGAAATAAACAAATACATAGTTTTTTTCACAACAAAAAAATTTACACTTGTGTTTTTATTCTACAACACTTCTATTACAACAACAACAAAAAAACTACTGATAGTTTAGATTTTTATTTTATTTTAAAATTACGAAAAACTCAGCAGGAGATCTAATTTTTTCCTGAAGAAAAAAAACAACAACATAATTTTTTCCCCCAATATTTTCCAACATTTTCATTTATTTTTATCAATTCAGCCAAACCATCAAACGGACCAGGCAACAAGACCATGAAGGCATAGGCACACGCTTAAGAATTTCTTTCGTTTAAAAATTTTCTCGCGCTTTTATTTCAAAATTTCGAAGGGGATTTCCCGTGACACAAGCACGTGTCTTACCCCTCCGATTCTCTCTAAATCGGTCTATTTTTAAAGGTTAAACTAAAGAAAGATTGTGTGTCTTTTTTTTTCTTGATGTGACTTCTGCCAGAGCTAGAGGAATCAAGACCAAGACCATATGTTGTCATCATAGTTTGATATTTTGTTGTTGTTGTATATTTAGTTTTTTGTTATTGTTTGTAGTGTTGTTTTTATTATACGATCCCCCTAAAAAAAATTCAACAGATATGTTTTGTATGTTTTCATTATGAATGGGGGAAAAATATTTTTATTTTAAAAACCCCATTTTCATTTACAAAAACAGAAAAATTCTGGAAAAAAGCGCTAGTTATGCAAAAATAATAAAAGTGAATATACACTGAGAGAAAAGTATATATAGATATGTATAATAATAAATAAATATTTAAATAGATTTGACAATTATCATTCTGTTAAATTATTATTATTATCAACTTTCATTCTTAACACAATTTGTACATCAAAGATTCCCCTATTAACTCAAAATTTTTCTCAGTGTCTCCCACCCAACCAAAAACATGTTGTAAATACTCCTGCAATATTTTGCTTTTTATAGCATGCTCTATGACATTAGATGTTTCTTTTGCTCCTGTTTGTAATATTGGATAAAAACAGAAAAAAAACGTAACCCTCTATTCTCCAAAACATAAGCCCCCCGACATAACTCTAGAAGTAACACCCTACCACTAACTTAAACCAACATGTGTTGCCTTGCCTCATACAAGTACGACGACTAGTACATGCAGCAGATAGTTTTTATGTTGTAGAAGTGTCAGTTTAAATTCTGCTCTTTTCTGTCAATCAAAATCTAAAGATTTTTTGACACTTTGTATCTTTTTTTTTTTTGGTTGTTGATATGAGTGAATATATGTTGCATTAGAATTTACATATTCATAAACTCAATCGTACTTGTTGTTGTTACCGCTATTTTATTTTTCGATATTATTTTTCATTTTCTCTTCATAACTCAAGTGTGGCATGCGACATTAGTTTAAAAATTGTATTTGACAGTTTATTTTTTCGTTAGTTTTTATTTTAGTTATACGGCTGGATTACATTTGTAGATTTTTGTTTGGGGGTTTTAAAGTTGCTTGCTTTTTAGATTTATATGTTGTTTCTAGATAACGTGTGAGTAGTTTGAGTTAAAATTTTACTTGTATTTTGTTTTTGTTACAATAACAAAATACAAGTAAAATTTGTACTCAAACTACTCGCTCGTTATTTAGAAACAGCACATTAATTTTCTTTTTTTGAGTTGTTGTGTGTTTAATAGGGATCAGTGATTTGTTTTGAATATGATTTCAATATATCAAATGTGTCATTTTAGTTTCAATGTTATTTGACAACACAGTTGTTGCTGTCAAGTAAATTGTTGAGGTTTTTTTTTTTTTGTAGGAGTCCAAAAATGGAAGATAGGCAAGGATATAAGTGTGAATTATTAACTAAATGCAAATGGTGGGATTATTTAGATTATAAGACAAACCAGCTTCATGTCAGTTAATTTTCCATATGAAAATATTCACTAACGATTTTTTGATAAAAATGTTCACTAACGATGGGTTTAGTAAACCGCCAATCGTATCCGAAGCATTCAATTAATATCTTACCAGCGATTTGCGACAGCTAGAGCACTGATATTTTACAATGGATATTTTTCCTGAAGCCTGGGCAAGCGTTATTAGTCATTCCGTTTTAAAAAACGTAGGGAATAGATCTCGAATTATACTTGGAATTTTATAAAGCGGAGGAAGGAGTTGAAGACAACGATTACAATCCACGACAATTTGATCGTAGAGTCCAATACAGCAAGAGACAGGGCAAAATTAAATAAGTCATTGACATCGCTTACTAAGCACAAGCTGCTATCGAAACTGATCCTAGTATAGCCATAAGAAACATCATCAGACATCTAGAAACGTTTAACCGGAAATTTGGACCAAATTTTATAACAAATAGCTTGAAACCTCTTAAATAGCTAGTCCCTCACTCTGCTCATATTGAAAGGAATTATAAACATCTACATCAGCCCTCAAAAATTTGTAGAATTGTCAATGTGTAGTAAAGGAGATTCTATGGAACGAAGAGGAATAGCATTATTACAAGATCATTACAAACACAAGGCTCTCAACATTTTTCTGCGAGGAACTATGAAAAACACAAGCAGCATTTCGAGCTGGAAGATCGAAATCGTCGGCCAATCCGTAGAATTGCGCTTTTGAATCTATGTACCAGATGTTCCTTGTCTTTTATAAAGCCTTTGATACTCTCTCACAAGAAGCATTATGGTCATAGTTACATTTTTCTTTGTATGTAAACCTCTCCTCAATATCCTTTTTTTCTAATCTCCCTTTTTGCAACCCACTTCACTAATCCCTAGAAAAATTCTCAAATCGATTACAAATTATAAATAATTGTTTGCAATTCCCTTTCTATTCAACATCAATTACACACTTACACAATTTTACATAATTATCTAATATTGTTGTTCTTCTTCGAACAAAAAAAAAATACAGAATCCAATAATAACTTATTTCTTAACAAATTCATAAAGAGCAATCATGATCATCACATTAAAAATATAAGTTTAAGTACGTATGTAGCTCTGGCTGCATGCATGCCATGGCTTTGCATGAATTACGAAAAATACACTTTTGTTTTCTTCTTATCGCCTTAAGAAATAAAGAAAATGTCAATCAATTAAATGTGACTGAATCTATACAATACGCACAACGGCAACAACAGCAACCTACAATAGCAGCAGCAGAAGTAGCCAGCAACTACATTAACAACTCCCAAAGCAATCATCAATCTAAAAATGAGCAGACTTAAAACTTTCAATACATTCGTATAACAAAATCAACAATAAGCATTTAATCAAGCATAGTTATATATCCAACTAAACAACCAACCATCCATCTATCTATCTATGTAACCAACCAAATGAACATTTTCAACCAGCTAAATCTTTTTAAACATGTATTCATCCATCGAACCCATAGCATATATCTATCCATCCATCCAAGTAACCATATTGATCATTGCATCTATACTTATTAAACATGTGAACGGATGGACGGACGTTCGGTCGGCCGGACAGTTTGTGGAACATACTTTATCAGTGTATTGTAAGAAAAAGAGACCACTTGTATATCAAATCAAAGAACAAAAAAAAGAACCCAATCTTGAAAAAAAAAAGAATTGGGGCTTGATTTTTATTTGTTTCGTTTTCGTTACTACAAATACTACTATTACGTCCTACTACTGCAATAAATACCCGTACTATATGAGTGGCTGACTGAGTCTACTCCCCTTTCTTATCTTTATCTTTTCAGTTTCATTTGTTTATTTATTATTTGCTTAAATCTTTATCGTTTTAATACTCTGGCCCTACTTGAGATTGCTGGTATACTTGATACAGCAAAGAGTTGAGAAATTATAAAGCAAACGTTTCATATTCAGAAAAATCTATTTTTCTTAACTTTACTCCAGAAATCGTTATCTTCTCTCTAAAGTTAGCTAGAAAAATTAAGTTTATAAATATCGAGTATAGGTCCATTCCCTAAAAAAAGATAATCTACTACGAGAGTTCTCATCTAAATAAAGTAAACTAAATTACAATACCAGGAAAGATATTGTGATATTCATTATGAATCGATATTTCAGTAGAATTCAAATCGAGATTTCAAACGATGTCGAGTATTTCAATTTGCCATCAGATTTTTTTGTTCAAAATAGGGTTCCTTAAAATTCGTTTAAGATGTCTAACAAAATTGTACAATTTTTTGATTATACAAAATAAAGAATTAAGCAGGAATACTACGTTTACTACAGAATACTATAAAAATATAAACAGGCCTGTATTTTTCCTACATCTCAAACTCGTTTAACGGCAACAAATTTTACTCATTAAACAATCAGCAGATTTTTTGATCAGGATCATTATGGTTGTAAGTAAAAATTATTTCAGGTCGATTCAAAGTCTTAAAAAAATCATGATCATTCTACACGGCATTTGTTGTGGACGATCCTTTTGCTGTATTAGGCTGAGAGTTCATTTCATTGAGATAGTTGTATTGTTACATCTGATAAACGAAAAAGTATTATATATAATTGATTTATAATCTATACAATAGTAAATCAGAGTTATATCCTGTTGAAAAATGTCTTCCAATCTTCTACGCAGAATATCAATTAATTTAAAACTCTCTTCAGAATCTTGTGATCGCCTCATAGTCGAGTTTAGTTATGATCATTCCGGATCAAATTGATAATGATTAATAGTCAAGTCCCTTAAACAGTTCTAACTCTCTTGTGAATGGAAAACATATTAACGATCTATAATCTTTTCGATTAACTATGATCGTTCGTAGTCGTTTTGTAAAGAGTAATTCTTCTTGTAATAATAGTTCCGAGTAAATTTTCCTTCGTTCGCATTCGTTTTGTAAAGAGTCGTTCTTCTTGTAATTATAATTCCGAGTAAATTTTCCTTTCAGCACAATTTCAATATAGTCAAAACTCTCTTGAAAATTTTGTGATCAAAAAATAATAAATGATCCTGATTCTTAAAGTAACCATGCCTGAGCATCTTGTCTATGTGATCAAATCATTTCCGAATTGAATTAAGATCATTCCGGAGAACTATTCTAACTTTTGTTAATGATCAATAATCCAGTCTCTTTAAGTGACCAACTCTTGAAATGTCAATCGTCGAACAATTTTTGGATGTCGTGTGTTCGATCCTCAGCTTTATTGAACTTCTTATGGAGAATTTTTAAAATAGTGAGTAAAATTTCTATTGCAGAGTTAACAATTTTCTGTGGAGTAGAAGCTATACCATTCCCGAATAGAGTTCTAAATCTTTGCTTGTCAAAGGGGGCCCTGCTGTATTGAAACTTTAAACTGCTTATGTATGCAGTCGATGTCCGTAAAGTTTTTTTTATACACCAAATCTTACAACTCTACTACACGGCTGTTTGCTGCTGCTGACTCTAAATGTATGGGTGTGTATTGTTGCATGGGTATATGTATATTTTTATGCTCATGCTACAGCTCCAAGCAGTAGCAATAACAACAACTACAGCAACGTATAAGCAGTACTTGTCGAACCATTAAGGCAATGACCTGTTTTTCATTTCGATAAGTTTAGGTTACATTTAGATGGATGGATGTATGGTGTCGAGCTCACACACACACTCAAACAAACATACATATATCTATTCACCAGTTACTTGTAGTAAGAAAAGAAGTACTGTTTGTGGCTTTAACTAATAATGTTGGTTGGGTTAAACAGCAATGGCAACAACAACAACTACATACAAAACCAACCGAATCTTAAGTTTTTAATGTTTTGTTATTGTTGTTGGAGTATCTATATGTAGATTTGTTTATGTTTTGTCTCTTTCTAACAAGAACTAACTTAAGGACAGACAGCGGGACAGACGTTGGGACTTACTTTTAAAACGACGAATAGTCAGTCAAGTAAAGTGCCAAGTTAAGTTGACGTTGTTGAGGTTTATTCTATATGTTTTATAATGTTGTAGTAGTATGTATTTCAAACAACCACATCTACAAATACATACAACAAAAATGATCGAGTGTGTAATCGTATGCTAAAAAAATCAAGAATATAAAAAAACGCAATCAGCTGCAGCTGTGTTTACATTTTGAACATGTTACAACTTGATTTTAGGTTTATATTTATATAATTTTTTGTTTTTTTTTTTATTTCTCATTATTGTTGGTGTGTATTTTTGTTGTAGTTTTTGTTCATATGATTATTCCTCAACATGTTGCAAGTTGATAGTGAAATAAGAAAATATGATTCTTTGAGGAAAGAGAGAAAAAATACAACAATAATAACAACAACATCAGAATACTACTTACTACTATACGTATAGTAATCGTATGATACTACGGAATATTGTATCGCGTAGTATTAAGTATACGCTGATGTGGTCAAACCAGTTCTTGATTTGTTGTATGGTGTTCTTTATATTTTCTTGGTGCTGCTGCTGCAGCAATTGTTGTTGTTGTTTTTTCTAATGTAATTGTAAGCTTCTGCTTCATTGGATTTTATATGGCAAAAGCACCACAATTTAAAACAAGTAAGAGTGCTAGACTCGGCTATAACGACTGCTATTTGCACTTTACATAATATATTTTTCAAAAGAACAGTATTGAAAAACTTCCTTCGATAGAAAATTCCTCTTCCAAAGAGACTAGTTTTGTATTGAAATGTCCTCTTCTAAAAAGAAAAATTTTCTACACACGATGTCTCTTCCAAAGGAACTAACTCTTTGTAGAAGATTTACTTTCCAAAAAGAGTATTGTTCTCTATAGAAAATGTCCTTTCCAAAGAGACTAACTTTATATCGAAAATTACTCTCAAAGAGCCTAGTTCTTAAACTAAAAATTTCTCTTCTAATGACTAGATTTCTGTTAGAAATATGACTTCCAACAAGATCAATTTTATAAAGAAAATTTCTCTCACGATGCTAATAGTTTTCTATACAGAATTTTTCATTCAAGATATAAATTTACAAAAGAAAAACTGTCTTTCAATGGAATTTCCTAATGATTTAAACAAAATTTTTCTTCTAAAGTAACTGTTACAATCATTAGTTCTCAGAGAGAATATTATATGAGTAGGTCCCATTTAAAACTCTCCAGCTGATATTTTTAAAATGTTCCTCTACTTCTATAGTTCTCGATCTTGTGTTTCGTATTTTGCATAATTTGACCCTCCCCTCTCAATAATGTCCTTCGACAGAGACATTGTGTTGGAATAAATAAAACAAAATACGTTTTAATTATTTGTTTGTTTAAGTCATTTGGTTGTATGCCTGCCTAGTAGCTTGCTTAGTTAGTAGTTATATTTGCCACAGATTTACTACTTGCACTTGGCCATCGTTTGGTCGCTTTCGGTTTCCTCCTTCTCCAGATATTTTTGCCCACTGATCATTGTGTTTAAAAATTGGCGCGCAATTTTCCTACAACCCAAACTGCCGTAATGATTATGGACAAGAGAACACATTTAAAAGATGATTTTCTAAGCAATACTTATTATGCGATTTTATGTATTTTTTTTCATGTTGCATGATTTGATTTAAACACACATTTATGTTGCATTTGCTGCATTATTTATTAGTTTTAACTAGACTGTTGTCAATACTTAAGCGAACTCCACCTTTTTTCAAAACCACACTTGCCATTTAGTTTATGCTGTTGTTGGGGCACAACCAGCATGTGCTTCCATTCGCACCATCAGGCGTTGTTGGCAGCACGTTCCTCTTGTACAGTTTATTTTTGTTGTTGCTGTTACTGTTGTTATTGTTTCTAGCTTGAGTTGTAGAGGAGTATAAGTATATTTTGCGCGTTGTTATTACTATTATCCAGTTTTCCCGGTTTGGCAACTCTTAGATGAGTTTGTATTTTCGGTTTGTTGTTGCTTGTTTGGTCTGGGTGTTGCGTGGTGTTTATGTTTGTTGTTCAGTTTCCTTTTTGCAATAAGTCGTTTTGTGATTTCTGTTGTTGCTGGCTGCTGTTGCCAGTTTGCTGTGGGCTTTTTGGTGATCTTGTGCTACTTAATGCCAGCAACAGCCCAACAATCAGCAGTTGTGTTGATCGTTTTGGTTTGTAGTTGTTCATTTTATAAGTATGTATTACCTCATGGTGGTTAAAGTAAAAAAAAATCATACAAAAAAACTTGATGTCTCGAGGGTCTTGTTGTTTCCTTTTAACATTTAATTTTTTTTGTCATGTTGCCACAAGTTTATACTGCAGGTAGGGAATTGAGGGTTAACAAGAGCCTACTTCTACTTTTTTTTTTT